TGACGTGTGATTGGCTGATTAGATATTTGCGTTAAAGAGCAGTTGAACAGGTGTACCTAATAAGGTGGCTTGTTGCTATTCACAATACATAATGTTGCATTGATGTATTGCGATATATTGTTACATCCCTATTCGTTTTACTTTCTTTTGAAGAACGTACTCCCAAGTGGATACATTTTAAGACGTTGTTTTGCGTTGCAGTTCAGACTGTGAAAACGAATGTATTCGAAAACGATCATGCATTTTTAGTCATGTCACTGTAATTGTACTGCAATTGCTTTACTTTGAAAATTACCGAATTTTACAGCAGTTTTACACCAAACATAATGGTGAGTGAGTGCTAAATAAAATGAACCTGCTAGAAGAATAGCCTGCACAATACGGTTAATTTGGTGTTTCCCAATGTTTCAGCGTGGATGTGAAACTTTTGGAAAATGCTTGAAAACGCTAGTGTGGACGGAGAGCGTTTTGAAACGAAAACCCTATTTCCAAATGCATCTAGATTAATGATGTGACCTTAGCTGCTCTTTTCCACTCAGTGACCGTAAATGGGCACAGAGTTTGTTGAGCTTAAAAAATGAAGCATTATACCTTCGTTCAGCAAAATACCTTCTTTTGCATTCCTCTGAAGAAAATGATACTGCCTGGAATGACAAGGGTGAATATATGATGACAGAATCTTTATTTTGGGTGAACAATCTCTTTGATAAATATTGGGGGGTATATGCCAGAAACCCTCACATCCAGATACAATTTGACCATATCTTTTGTCCTGGAGCCACAAAAGGCCTGTTTCCTCCTCCTCGTGAATAATTGGATTTGTCAAGCAGGCATCTTGCTTCAGTAGGAAGCACCTCCAGCATGGCACATGTGAAGAGTTTATATCTGGGAAGCGCAGGTGCTGCTACTCAGGCCAATCTTTTCTCCAGATTGGAGAAGTTACCAGCCTTGCACGAGTGCCCTGAACAAACCAGGATTGAGACACCGGCTGCCTGCTGTGTGAAGGCGCTCATGTAGTGTTGAGCATGGTGTAAGGAAAGGTGTTGCAATCCCGTCTTTAAACTAGTGATATACTCATCATCATTGAGATTCACTTCTCATTCACTCCTTCACTTGACGGCATCTGTCTTACCGTGCATTCACACAGGATGCGATTAGCGAGTCAAATTCACGTCTACCGCATCTAGTTTGACGCTTGACCACTTTGTGTTAATTCGCGCGTCAAGAGTGAAACTGACGCGCATAAAAACAAAAGTTTGACGCGAAATTTACACGCGTCAGAATCGAAACCCGTTGGCGGCCATCTTGTTTATCTTGATCGAGCATTCATTGAGAGAGTCACAGCTCTGTTTTTACTCTGGAGAGCAGAACACCAGTGTGGGGATCATCGTCACCGTATTTGTGTCCACCGGATCATTCAATGGCGAACCGTTTGGCGAGTTTCACCATTTGCTCGCTCCAGGAGCTGCGCTGGATGACAGCCGCTTTTAGCGGTACTTCCGCCTGTCCCGCGCCCAGTTTGATGACATGTCGTTGTTGCGCATTGGAGCGAGGACCACCCTTGCCCTCATCCATCTAATCTGTCATGTTTTGATGATAAATAGAGCCAGCCTCCAAAAGTTATTAACCTGTCCTGTGATTTTTTATTTTTTTTTATTTTTTTATTTTTTCTCTCTCACGTCCAGACACGAACTTATGCACATGTATGTTGTTGGTTGTCTTTACATCATAATAATATTTCATATAATCTAGATATGGAATAAATAACATTCAATACAAAATGAACATGTCTCGTATATTGAAATAAAGTTTTAAGGCATATTTGCTTTGCAAAATATTTGCTTTGTTGTGCATTAGAACCACACCAGGCATTTAGTCATATTACAAAATAATTTATTGACGCATCCAGATCTTTCACCACGTGAGCAAGCAGCTAGGCTCCTGATTGGTTAACGCGGCGCAAATTGACACCAAAGTTCAGATTTTTCAACTCGGGCGGCAGACGCGAATTCGCGTCAAACGCATGAATGCACAAATAGAACTAACTAAATGATTCGCACGAACTTGACACGCGAATGAGGCGTATTCGCGTCTTCCGCACCGCACTCTACGCCTCATTAGCGCCGCAGGAATTTTTTACTCACGCAACGCGTCTTTGCATTGACTTAACATTGAAATCATTCGCGCCTGACGTGCTATTCGCATCAGGTGTGAACGCACCATTAGTCTGACATCATTATGAAATGAATTGTGAATTTTCAAGTAGCCAGCACTAGTCAACAGTGAATATGTGATCTGCAAGTAAGACAATGTTTTATTTTATTACCAAAACTGATCAAATTTGGCTTCTACATTTTTAAGTTATTGGCCAATCAGAACTTCTACTGCCCCCAATCCCCCCCCGGGTTCCCCGCAACCAAAAAAAATAAATAAATAAATAAAAAATAATGAATGTTTTAATAATAAGGGTTTCTTGCTTTTTTAGGTGGACAGATCAATACAGTCCAAAGAACGTTAAAAAACCCAAAATAACATGAAAAATAACAATGTCTTTTCTGTTAACCAAATTATTTTAATCTTCGCTATTGCTTAAATGCTAATGAACAAGCGCGCCGTTGTTTGTTGCGTATGATGGGCATGTTCAAGTAAGCCATATATCTGTTTAATCTATCATGATGACTCACGAGTTGAGTATTTGCGCCAAATGTGCACAGATTTGGCTTACACCAACTTCCCCAGCAAAGTGAGTAAACATAACACGCAAATTTGGCTAGTGATTTGACAGCGTTACTCGCCACAGTTGATTTTTACCCACATTTGGCGAATGTGAAATTTAAACCCTGCAACTACGGATAATTCATGAAAATAACCCAATATACCATATAGTATATAAAAATGAGGAAAAACAAAACGTGTTTAAATGTGTTGATGACGTGGAATCGAACAAAAACCCAGTACTCAAAATGGACTGGAGTATACAGGAAGTGGAATGGATTGTCAAACTTTTCCACCCAAGTCAACACCATGCCCAACATCACCGCTTAACACAGGCACAAAGCTTTGTGTTCAGTACAATGAATGTGCTCCTGCTGTGCTGAGTCATTAAACGAGTCATTCCAATAAAATACCAGTGTCTCTCTGTCAAGGAGACAGTGTTCAGAGCCAATGAATGTTAAACATTCAACAGTCTGCAGAACCATCCTAACCACTCAAGGTCATGAGAGTGTTTCAAAGAGATGAACACTGCAGACTCAGCACCCTAAACTTGCAGTCTCAACGGCCTCTTTAGCTAGATTAACTTTGACATTTAGCACGTCTGGGGCACAGAGTTTGTCTAATTTGAATCACATTATGAATCATTTGCATTTATCAATTACTGTTTCTGCCAAACCCTAAATCATGCCTGTTGCACTTTATGGCTCAGCTTGAGATTTGTGTCCTGCTGAGTATGAATCTGTTAGGTTGTTTAATCATGCCAGTTTTATCACCATGAAAATCAAGGTCACTGTATGGCGGAAGGTCAGTAAGAGGAATGTGGGCTTGGGGAAAGAATCTACAAAGTTTTAGTCATCACGCAGGCTTTGCACCATTTACTTTCTTAATGCACTTGAAACTCACTGCACAGATTCAAACACACACGATTTTTCATGACTTCCATGATGCATCTCCAGGGGGAGTCCTTGCTGTTGTTTTCCTTGTGGATCTTCATTTCCTCATTCATATTTGATTAATATACTTTGGGTCAATGACTTTAAGTATGGGCGGGGATGATCGGTGCACAAATGTAATCTAAGCACAACCAATAAAATGTAGTGTCGCTTGTCCCAATCGCAATTGGTTAGACAAAAACTCGGACGAGATGTCGAATTATCATGTGTTTCGCTAGAACACAGTGTGAAAGTGAAAGGAGATCACCCAAAATCATCATTACCCACTCTCATGTTGATCCAAATGACTATATTTTGAACTATTTATGACTATATTTTGATGAAATATTTCCCCATATTTTTACTTTAAGAAGCATTTTCTTGTCACCAAAGAAAGTGACCATACATTTTCCCATCAAAATAAAAGCTCAGTAGTTTAATGTTTAAAAATAAAGACATTAAGGCACAAATATTAGAATTGTAATGTATAACGTTATTTTTTATATATATATTTTTTCGGTACAATTTTTTTTTTTTGAGAATTTTACTTGTAAAATTTCTTATTTTGTTTAATATTTAAATGTTATAATAATATTAATAATAATTATTATTAATATTTGTTGTAGTATTTTATAGTCATATTGATAAAATCACACAAATTAGGCAAATTGTGTAGCCCTGAAAACAAGCAGCGCAAACCTGAAGCTCTTTAAAAGCACTTTTTAAATTGCGTTAAAAAAATCGCAGTTTTATTTTATTTATTTATTTTCCCAAATTGTGCATCACCAAAACTGTATGGTTATCAACATCCTTCAAAATATCTTAATTTGTGTTCCACAGTAGAAAGTAAGTCATACAGGTTAGAAACAACATAGTGTTCGAAATTGTCATCATCTTCATAAAGGCTTGTGTATTTATGGATATTTTATTTCAGAATTATATCATCCGGAGCATTTACTTCACTCACAAAGCAATTTTTCCTTATTCCACTGCTACTTCTAACGCACACAAGCGGAATTGTTTCTTTCAGCTTATGAAATATCACTGCTCATCTTCAGTCCTAACTAACTACTGTGATGAGGGATTGGCAGCAGTGAATGCCTGCAACATAGAAACACCGCTCAACTCTTACTTCCCACAGAAAAGCCTCTTTCATGAGCTAGAGGACTCTTTGAGCTTGATTTTAACCATGGCAAGAAAAAAAAGTGCAAAATTTCAGGCTTTAATCATTGTTTGTGACATCACTTCCTTTGTAAACAGGAAAATCTTTGTTATTAATGGATCCTTTACATCTCTGTCTGTCTCTCATGTTGTTTGTGGGCCTGGAAATGGGTCTTCTGTTCTCTGTTGTAGCTCGGGGGAGATCTGGGAGGAGGTGTTGGGGGCAGTCCTGCAGTAAGTGAGCTCCACTCTCTCCGCTCGTGTCCGCATGTCCACTCTCAGCATGCTGTGCACTATTCATTGATTCTTAATAGTTTATAGAATAGATGCCTACCTGTGTGTCCTGCTTTGTTTCTTTCTGTTGCATACACAAAAGTGCTTTCTGCTTTGTGGTGATGAGATGTGCATCTTCTCTAAAGATGTCTTTGAAGAACTGAAGGGTTAACTTTTTTTCAGCTAAAGACAAACATAAATAGTGATGAAAGCCAAACTTTTCAATGCCATTGACGAACGTTTACTGAGTAATCCACTATTTTGTGTAGTCCGGTTAAAATGATCATTTTCATTAATTTGAAACCAAATTACAAGAGAGCCGTTTCAGCTGTTTACAAAGTAACCCACATTTGGTTTTTAACCACTGAATATGTCTCATTGAGATCCCCATATCTCTGGGATTGAACCATAAAGAACTTTAAGAATGGAGATATCAAAAGAAATGTGTATTAAGAATCAGCCCAAGACTGGTTGCCCACTGAAGCTTTTCCTGGGAAAACCAGGTTGCTGCTGGAAGAGGTGTTGGGGAGGCCAGTAGGGGGCACTCTCCCTGTGATCTGTGTGGGTCCTAATGCCCCAGTATATTGATCGGGACACATCAAAAGCCATGTCCTTCAGATGAGACCTTAAACTGAGGTCCTGACTCTCTGTGGTCACATAAAATCTCAGGATGTCTTTCAAAAGATTAGGGGTGTAACCCCGGCATCCTGGACAAATTTTCCCAGTGGCCTTTGTCCACCATCCTCCTAATCATCCCCATATATACTGATTGGCTTTATAACTCTGTCTTCTCTCCACCTGTAAGCTGGTGTGTGGTGGGCATACTGGCGCAATATGGCTGCCGTCGCATCATCTAGGTAATGCTGCACATTGGTGGTGGTTGTCAGAGGAGATCCCCTTCTATGTAAAGCGCTTTGAGTGCAGAGAAAATTTCTACATATATATGCAAGAAATTATTATTATTATTATTAATAATACTTCTTGAGTGACAGGCTTGCAAACTTAAAAAAAAAAACTTCTGCGTAAAAGTACTTTTTCCCATTTTTGGACTGTCGCCATTGGCATATAATACAACAGGGATTGCTAAAGTCAGCTGATGTTACAAATAGACTTACCAATCTCTGTGTAAAAATAAGATAATAATGTTACTATCTTTCTAATAAGGTCATTTTCCCCCTGTTATTTGGCTCTAAATCTCAGGTGAAATTTGTCCCCTTTTTATAAAATAGTGGATTACTCAGCAAATATTCATCCATGGATATTGGTTTTCATACTGGTTTTCTTCTTTTCACCAGAATAAAAAAAAAGTCAAGTACTTCTGGTTATGTTGACACAGAATGACTCTGGAGATTTTTTTGTACCTACATTTCTTGTTTGGATCATTTACTGTAGAAATCCTGTTGCTTTTGTTTAAAGGGTTACATGAACACGTGCAGAAGTAGATTAAACCCTTTGACCCCTATGTGTGTGTCTCGCAGGTGGGCCAAAACTTTATCCCGTCATCGGTGCCCAACACTTTTGCGCCGTCTCCTACACCTGCTGCCCTCAGCAGTGGGCTCAATGACCTGTTTGAGTTGTCCACAGGAATGTCCATTACTACAGGAGGATATGTGACACCTAAAACTGTGAGTGCTACTTGCTTGTATCTTTAAACCATAACCCTGCACCTTTGTTTCTGATCTTTAAGCAGCCAGCCAACCAATGAAAACAGCCAGAACCTTTCCAAATCCACCAAACTCCTCATACCAACAAGCGTGTGTAGTCAAGATCAAATGGCGCTTTTCCACTACACATTACCAGCTCGGCTCGGCTCACCTTTGTTTGGTTTTCCACTGTGTAAAAGTTGTACCTGTATCTGCTTTCGGGTACTTTTTTTTTGTATCGCCTCCGGCGAGGTTCTGAGCAAGCTAAGGCGAGCTGAAGCAATACTAAAGCCTTGTTCACACTAACATGATTTTAAAACGTCGGGCTGCACTGTGCGGTTCACACTACATAACTTGCTCTCAGTGAAATCATGAGTGTTCAAGTTGTTCAGCTGTTCACACCACACAACACAACGTGATTGATCCACAACAGGAGGTAACTCACTACACGGGTTGACAACTCACTACATAGAGATACAACCACGATCGGATGATAAGAGCAAATCATTTGTGACTCAATGAGAGCTGTTTCAGTACTATGGTACGGTCTAAATCCTGAAAATAATCAAATAAATAACGAGTTGACAACAACTCTGTCACCCAACAATTCTATCTTGTCTACAAACCACGTTTTGTCACGAAAAAACATTTATAAATATATTTAAAAATAAATATTGCGCCAATACCCAGAGAAGAAGAGAACACAACACACGAATATGGACGTCAGACAGAAACTAGTGCTGCACACTGTTTGCGTGACGATCTGCTCTGAGGAAAAAAAAAATGCAACAAAAAAAAATAAAATAAGAAAAACTAAGATTACCTGGTGTCCTCAACCCATGCGTTGCTATGATTGGCTGTACTCATGACATCAGTCATGATGGTTGAGTCACGTGACGGCTCTGGATATCTAGCAGGCTAGATATTTTTCTGGGTTCGGCGACGCGTCTGCAAGGCGTCTGCGAGCGTTTTCGCTGCGTTGTTGGCTCTTTCATACTAACAGATTGGCAAGCGTTCATCGTCCGCTAATCCCCCGCGATTTGCACATGATAACACCCTGACCTGTCTGCGAGCTCAATGATTTGCAAATCGGGCATAAATCGGGCTTAAAATCCTGTAGTGTGAACTTGGCTTAAAATGTCACGTGAAAACAATGCCGACTGCTGATTGGTTTGAGAGAATTGTCACCATTCACTGCGTCATCATTGCACGCGCCAGATGGAGTATCCAAAATAACCCCGCCATTTTCAAATACTCTGGCCAGAGATAGTTACTAAACTTACTAGTATTATTATGGCTATAGAGCTTGACATCAGTTTAACTTTGTACTGCGCCATGACTGCGTTTGTTATGCTTTCGTCTTCCATCATCTCGCTTTCTGATTGGATATTGTGTGGGTTCCCCCCACACATCAGGATTTCTGATCATGTTGAATATTTACAATTCGCGATCGTGGCGGCTCTGACATTCTTCGAGCTGGTTCGGACACTCTTAACACGCCTCACACCAAGGGAGAATCTGATAAGATAATCTGTAGAACCATCAAGATAATCGGGACATAGCTAGGATTCTCGGAAGGGGGGAAATCAGCCCAAAATCAGCTCGATTATCTTTTGGTGTGTACCCAGCATTAGCTGTCACACCTAAGAGTAAGAAAGAGAATTAAATTACTTTTAAATTATATATTTCGAGTTACGACGACAACTTTGAGGGTGAGTAATTTCTCATAACATGCGAAATCCGACTAGCGAATCGGTTTCTAAAATCGTTGTCTTGTTTCTGAGAAAATTAATTTTGTTAAAGTTTGGCCGCTAGCACACTTCGCTATAGAACGCGCTATGCAGAGATTCTACCGGAAATATGTCAGCAGCGTTCATGCATAGAGCCTATTGTTAATTAAAGCGCCATGTTACTTTTAAAAGGTGGTTTGCTCTATTTTGCTCTGTTACACTACTGTAGACATCAGTGTACTATCCCAGTACTTCTGTGATTTATTGGAATTGTTTTAAGCCAGGGGCGCAAGGAACAATTGAACTCATACTCAACTGTGTGAAAACACCTTTATATTCACGGTCTTCACTTTTAGATGTCAATTATTCACCAAATACGTGTCAAACGAGTGTTTCCCCCAGGACTAATAATTGCAGCGGAGTCAAACAACTCTCATTAAGCAGCCAAGAAATACACCGTGTGAGTGTAATGTTAGAACATGGCGAGCCCAAAAAATGCTAACGGTCAAAGAAAAGCTTGCTGTGGTCCTAAAAGCTGAGCTTCGAAGAAACTGACAGGCAATTGTATCAGTACGTAGCTGAAAAAAGAAATCAATGGTATCCCATAACTAGAGCTGTCATCCAGCTGAAGGCACTGGAAAGAGTTGAACCCACCAGCGAGGCCCATCGTTTCTTATTTCCAGCTACGTACTGACACACTGGCCTGCCATTTTCTTCTAAGTGACCGCTTTGATGCAGCGTATTGAATTAGCATTACGCCGCAGAACATTTTACATTGACATTTACATTCATGCATTTGGCAGACTCCTTTATCCAAAGTGACTTGCATTGCATTTCAACAAGGTAAGCATTTACATTCTTAACAGTTCTTGCTTTCCCTGGGAATCGGAGCCAACGCTCTACTGTTTGAGCTACAGGAACAAGTATTGCCCAGCTCTTGCCCTCCAACTTCAGGGAGAAACTGCTGTCTTTTTTTTGTGCCACTGGGTCAGATTTTCCCAGCAGCCATTTTATTTACAATGAAGGGCCTGTTCCCGCGAGGACAAAAAGTGCAGATCAGTCTATTTCCATTTCTCCAGCATTAACTTCATGTGCTACATAAATAAACGCGCGCAGAATAGCTTCTTGGGGAATGAAGTCTCGGGAATCATCATTAATAAGAGCTCCATTGGAGCCAGAGTAGGTCAGTGGAGCAGGACAGAGC